AATGGCCGTGGTAGAGACGTTGCGACAGTTTAACAAGTCTTGAATGAAGCGCCATTCGTATGAAGCACCCCAAAAGGTTGCATCACAGCGGAGCTCCGAAACCAACAAGCCGAGATCATGGCGGGTGATCCGGAAGGACGACTGACTCAAAAGGGTTGAAGAACGACATGTTTGGAAAGTACTGCTGTTGATACCAAGTTTCACATCACGAAAGATCATTCGTAGCATGTATCTTACCGCATTGGTACACACTCTCAGACGGTTATCATAACGATTGATTTTTAATGCAGGCGATGGTTATTTCGTTGTTTTATTCGCTGAACATTTTTGTGACTCGGAGATATAAGTCAGAGAGTTCTACCATTTTCGAATTCAATATGCCGGGTTGGATTAATTTGGATTGCGAACGAAGGAAGAGTAATCTTTAATCTGTGTGGCGAGTGATTCAAGGAAAAAAGATAACTTTAATAGTCACTCCACCCGCTTCGCAACAAGCGAGCATTGAATATGATGACATGCTCGGATCTGGTAAGTTAATTCTAAGCAACTAAAGCGTCAGGGCATCTGCCATTTGTGTCGTATACACAATACGGTAGTTCCTCCGGGGCTCATCGGGGGTTTTATTGACGTTAATCAGTAACTAGGTGGAAAATCTTAATCACTGCCATTCCTTACCTCATATCCAAGTCACTGCTAAGCTTTTGTGCCTTGGAATGATAATAACCAGGCTATATATAACACCATTCTTTACAGATACGGCACTGAAAAAACATGGGTTTAGCGCAAAATATAAGAACAGGAGGGGGGAAACAAAAACAGTAAACCTGGGGAATATCAAATTTTTGTTTCTTTACTACACGCAATTTTTTTAGGATCGCATACTGGAAAGAATGCATTCACGCCACTGACTTCGGCTCGATACCACATCCCAGTGTCTCCAGAGTCCTAGCCGAGGAACCCTGACGAAAGCCAAATCCGACCGCAGTGTCTTCAACGTTTTACGCAACGTCATAGTTTGTCCAAATCGTTGTTTCATGCACAAAACGTTTTCCACTGTAACTTATTCATTTTAGTGAGTGACGCTCAGTGTATTAAGAAACGGTGATGGGACGCGTATAAAGAAGCACAGTCTAGGATCTCAAGAATGATACAAACCTCCTGAATGCTGAGATCAAGGGAGACTCCTTGTGTTAACTAAACCTATTATACATCCCCGACGGCTATCATCATTACCATACAGAGAAGCTGACTGAAGTAAACCTCAATGATCACTGGCAGTTGGTATACCTAGTACACCTGCCTCTGAAAAACGAAGCTTACCCATTTCAGTTTGAAATGAACCTCAACTTCCACATGCAGTTATAGCACGAATAAAATCGTTTTTCATCTTTCTTCAGTTAGCTCAAAGTGAACGGATGGAAGCTACTATGAAAAATCAGGAGGATCAAATCAATGAAAGAAACTCTTGGAACACTTCTTTTCTCCAAGCGCGCGGACTGTGTGAGAGAAAAAAGGCGCGTGGAGAAAAGAAGTGTATTAAGATTGTTTAGACACTTTCACAGAGCGAAGGATTAGCACAAGCATACACACACGTACACACGATGGGAGTGTGTCGGTGACTAAGTGAGGACAACAAACAACAAAACCGACAGCTGAATGTGGCAAAAATATAACAAGTTCCCCCTCCCAGCCGTGGAAACCGAAAAAAAAATGCATTTCATTCATGATCCAAACAAAACACAACAACATGCAACCAATGCGCCCGGTAATCCTCGAATCATCCACGTATTCGCGTCAGTATATATGCGGATGTGGAGTCTGGACTGTACAAAGGAAAACCTCAGTCAATCTAAGTGTATTACACCCAGTGTGTTATCACCCTTCCATTGTGTCGTCCAGAACCGGCTCCGCATCGATACGCACATCCTCTGAATCGTAATCAGCGGAA